CCTGCTGTTAAATAATATACTTGGGCAGTTAGTCTGTGTTAATACTGAGAATTTTCTCATTAGTGTGTAATTTTGTTGTATCTTCAGCACCCATTCAGTTGGCAGTTGAGTTAGTCGGAGCATAAGACAAATATATTTCAGCATTTTGTTAATATGCTGATTTTTCTCTTTCTGAATGCTGGAATAATGGTGCAGTAGAGCACTGAATTTTTAATTCAGAAGAAATTGCTGAGTTGAAGTTCTCTGTTTGCTTTCAGTTTAGAAGCAAATTTGAGAAAATTATCCAGACGTTTCTGTGGTCAAATGTTAGACGCGACCTGACTGCGGTAGGGTATCACAGGAGTACCATCTGGATACCTTGTAATCAATCCCCTTATAGATTGATCTCCTTGGATTGACTATGCCTTCTGTGGTACAATGGAAACCCTGGGATGTTCCACACTCTTGTCAGTCAGAAAGAGAAAACAGTAACTCTAATAGACAAAATATTTTCAAATTCCAAAGCAAATTGAACTCTAAAAAGGGAAAATTCTTATTTTTGTTTTTCATAGCATTGAAAAAAACCAAAACATTCTGCTTCATGAAAATCCCATTTTTTACTCAGATTTTTGCAGATACAGCCTAGAATCAAAGTACACTGTGTGCATGCACCATACGGTGTTCACTCAAAAGTCCACACAATATTGTAGCAATATGGACAGACACAAATACTACGCCAAGCTAATCCAAAGCTAGAATGTGTGACTTTAGTTTGGCAAAAAGAATTATCTTCATTTACTGAAATCTTCTGAACAGAAAACTGACATATTCCAGCCAAATAAAGTTTTTGTTACCACTAGGAAATACCCTCATAATCTATAATATTGTGTGGCACTGTTAGGTTCAAAAACTGGGCAAAATGTTCAAAACCAGCAAGTTTAATAATCGTAATATTTCCAGTAACCACAACAATTGCTTTCAAAACAGCAACTTAAATAACATCTAACATCTAACATATTTCAAATTAAATATCAGAAAAAGTATCCTTCCTCCTGTGAAACTGACTGTGCTGAGCCTTCACAGGTACCTTGAACTTTACATGATCAAAAATCTGCTTTCCACAACTGTGCTGCAGTCAATCTGGTGCAAGTTTCTTATTTTTTTCCTACTATCCAATCTCTGCAGAGTTGTGGCTTGAAAGTTAGTTTGTTTCTTACGGCTTCAAGGCATTTTATTCTTTCTAGTTATTAGCATAAGTCTGTAATTTCAAAGGTTTGACTGAAGGATACATTGACCATGCATGAAATGTCTTAGCCTAAATAATGAGGAGGCAAAATTACCCTTAGTTGAAACTTCACAATTCCAGAATGTCTCTACTTGTTTGATCACTTTTTTACTGAATATAATATTACAAATATGACTTTTTTTTCTTTACTGAGCTACGTTAATAGAAAAGTACTAGTGTATTTTTTCTGGAAAAGGTGCCAGTTTATTTTCATTTTACTAAATGGATTGTTATTGAATAATGAAATGTTGAGCTCTCATTGATCAAGCATTTAATTTTTATTTTCCACTCAGCCACTGTGTTGCAGACCCTACATGTGAAAAGAGTTATTCTTTCATTAGACTGCTGTTATTTATGTTAGATTATTTTTAGCAGCTTTTGATCAAATTGCTGGTTTATTCTTAAAAGAAAAAAGCCAAAAAACTTTTATGTCAAAGATACAGAGCTGTAATTCACCAAAACTTTGAAAATTTCAAGTTAATTAGTGTTTTATTCCTGTGAGCAGGTCCTGTTCTGCTACATCAATAGAAAATTAGCCTCTTTTTCTCGAAAGGACTTTATACCACAGTGATGTTTTCGATGTCTATTTCTGAGTATTTAATGCAACATCTAATTCCAAGTACCTTTTGTAGTCTACATTTTTTTTAGGAATATCTAGTTGCTTTGAGGTAGTTGAGGGAAAATTAGCATCAGGAGGTATTTTCCCCTCTTGCTATCACTTCTATCTTGCTAACAAACTTTGAAGGTGAAATCATACTTCCACTAAAGGCAACTGTGGCTTTGAAATCCTGGCTCCGTCCTTTGGCATGGCACTTCCTAGTGGCATTAGAAGGAGCACTGCTGACACGTGGGTTCCAGACCTCAGAAAGGTGGTGCTTTGCAGGATGCAATGTGTCCTTAGCTCATAGCTGGACAGGCCAGTGAGTTTGGATGTATCAGCTGTTCTGTGGTAATTCTTGTTGCATTGCAGGCTTACTTTGTGACAAATAGAAAATTGTGTCCTCTATGAATGAAAGTGAACTGCTTTATATACACTTTGGTTTTAAGGTAACTGGAGGGCAGTTGCTATTATGAGCAGCTGACAAGTGTTGACGTGATCAGGTGGTCCATATAACTTAACACTTATTTTGCTGAAACAGTTTCCTCAAGACATTGTAAGATTACAGCCTTTATAATAGTAAAGTAGTAAAGGTTACTGCTTTAGAGCACTAGCAAGTAGTACTCTACATAGGACAGAACAGTTGGTAGTAAGGATCTGGTGTCTGCACTGCACATGTTGCAGGACAGCAGTTCAACTGGCTATAGTCTTGTCCCATGAGCTGGAACAGTCCTTAGCAATCAGAACATAGTAGGGGTACACTTGGAATGTGTCATGCATTTTAATCTGAAAGTTATTCGAGTTCTTCACTCCTCAGTACAAATCAAAGCATGGTAAGTGGGGAGATTAAGGGGATTCATATCCAAAGCACAGTCCTGATTCAGTCTGGAAGTTCATAGTGTCTTAAATTCTGTGAATCAATTTACCAGTAAACGATGGAAGGGGAACCTTTCCCTGAAATACTTCTAAATGAGTGTGAGATGTTGGTTTCCCTGGAGTTCTCTTCACAGCTTAGCTGGACAATAAGTGGCTTGATGAAAATGAATTCTCAAACCTTTTTCTGTTTGCCTTTGGTTGGTGCTCAGAAGGATAATAGAGATTGGCATCCAGCCTTCTGTTCAACAAGCTAGAAAATACAAAGTCATCACTTATTGGAATGTAATTCTGACTTTCAATTTTCAAATATTTCCACTTAAGAAGTGGGAAGGGGAACTAGACCATATCTAACTACAGTGTTCTGATCAGTTTTGTATTTCTCTGTACCCTGTAAGAGTAAGGAATTTTTTTAAAGTGTAATTATAGAAAATTTCACCAGCTTGATAGACAGATGCTTAAGTGTTTCATATCTTAGTTTACAATGACAATGTTCATCTGTTCAGTTACAAAAAATGGTAAAATATTTGTCTGTTTATCTTACTAGGTGGTTTTGTGTAGAACAATAGAATTAGTCTTACGGGTTTAATAAAACAACTTGATCTTAAAGAAATTTCAATAATCATGAAGAAAATGGGATAGGCATCTAGCAGAAAAATGCAAAAGAAGTTTGGAGTCAAATATCATTACAGCTGGATGAAACTGGAAGAATAATATGTTGGGTTTTTTATATATGAATTCTGAAATATTAATAAAATACAATTTAAGTATAGGACAATTTTAGGGCCCTAACGGAGAGTGTATTAGCTATATGTTAGTATTTCAACTCTTCTACTCCTTTACAAATCAAAAGCACCTTTCAAATATTAATCATTTAATAATATTTACAACCTGGCAAATATTTTCCTTACTTTAAAGGTAGGGAATGAGAGACTTTACAAGTGTAAAAGACTTGTTTAAGGCAACACATTATTTGGAAGCAGGAGACTTGGAACTTACGTCTTTAATAATAGCTCCAAACTCGTAACAATTTCTCAACAGTGAAGAGGACTTTTGCTTGTTTTTTCCCAGCAATAGCTTTTGAAGAGGGCTTCAAACACTACTACCAACCTGGTTTGGTCAGTATTGGGTATTTGGTATTGGTCAGTATCAGACATAAGGAAGAAGTTCTTCACAGTGAGGGTGGTGAGGCACTGGAATAGGTTGCCCAAGAAGGTTGTGAATGCTCCAACCCTGGAGGCGTTTAAGGCCAAGCTGGACAGAGCCTTGGGCGACATAGTTTAGTGTGTGGTGTCCCTGCTCATGGCAGGGGGATTGGAACTAGATGATCTTAAGGTCCTTTCCAACCCTAACTATTCTGATTCTATTTCTAGTCTAGATACTAATATTTCAAAGATATTGCTATCTTCAGAAGCCATCAGTTCAATATCTGATGATCTGAAAAAAACCCACAGGCTTATATATACGTGCATATATATAAGAAATCTCAAGAACATGATGTATTGCCACGTAAGAATGATTGCATGTCCACAGAAATGAGGAAAATTTATACTTTATGG